TTTTTTTAATTATTTTTATTTTTTTGAAGAACATTATGTTTACTAGGCTCTCCCCTACCCCAAGTCCACCCCCACAAACCCCATCACAGTCCCTGTCCATCAGCATAGTAAGATGTTGTAGAATCACTACTTATCTTTTCTGTGTTGCAAAGCCCTCCCCTTTCCCCCACCCCCCCACATTATACATGCTAATCATAATACCCCCTTTCTTCTTTCCCACCCTTACCCCTCCCTACCCTCCCATTCTCCCCAGTCTCTTTCCCTTTGGTAACTGTTAGTCCATTCTTGGGTTCTGTGATTCTGCTGCTGTCTGTACCTTCAGTTTTTCTTTTGTTCTTATACCCCACAGATGAGTGAAATCATTTGGTATTTGTTTTTCTCTGCTTGGCTTATTTCACTGAGCATAATACCCACTAGCTCCATCCATGTTGTTGCAAATGGTAGGATTTGTTTTCTTCTTATGGCCAAATAATATTCCATTGTGTATATGTACCACATCTTCTTTATCCATCCATCTACTGATAGACACTTAGGTTGCTTCCATTCCTTGGCTATTGTAAATAGTGCTACGATAAACATAGGGGTGCATCTGTCTTTTTCAAACTGGAGTGCTGCATCCTTAGGGTAAATTCCTAGAAGTGAAATTCCTGGGTCAAATGGTAAGTCTATTTTGAGCATTTTGAGGAACCTCCATATTGTGTTCCACAATGGTTGAACTAATTTACATTCCCACCAGCAGTGTGGGAGGGTTCCCCTTTCTCCGCAACCTCGCCAACATTTGTTGTTGTTTGTCTTTTGGATGGTGGCCATCCTTACTGGTGTGAGGTGATATCCCATTGTGGTTTTAATTTGCATTTCTCTGATAACTAGCGATGTGGAGCATCTTTTCATGTGTCTGTTGGCCATCTGAATTTCTTCTTTTGAGAACTGTCTGTTCAGCTCCTCTACCCATTTTTTAATTGGATTATTGAGGAGTGTGAGCTCTTTATATATTTTGGATGTCAAGCCTTTATCAGATCTGTCATTTATGAAAATGTTCTCCCATACTGTAGGGTACCTTTTTGTTCTATTGATGGTATCCTTTGCCGTACAGAAGCTTTTCAGCTTGATATAGTATCACTTATTCATTTTTGCTTTTGTTTTCCTTGCC